TTCATGCTTATGTGTGTGTGTGTGTGTTCAGGTTTCTTTGTGTGTGTGTGTGTGTGTGTGTGTTCAGGTTTCTTCATGCTGATGTTTAAAAGTGTGTGTGTGCTCAGTTTTTTTAATGTTGTTTATGTGCGTGTGTGTTGTGTGTGTGTGTATGTGTAGTGTGTGTGCTGGAGTGTGTGTGCTCAGCTCTGCTGGTCTCAGATGAGGACGTGAAGGCCGCCGTGTGTTACGTGATGTTCAGGATCTGGAGTTGCGCTCCTGCGATTCAGACGCTTCCAGACACACTCCGACAGCGCATGTGTGTGTTACTGCTGCACACACTCTCACACACACACACCACAGCGCTCACCATCAACTGCCTGGGTGAGACACACACACACTCACTCTCTGCAACTGTCCGGATGAGAAAATTACAGTAAAGACACTTATAATTGTACAAATTATTTCTTTTTCAGAGTTTCCAAGAGAAGCTGCATAATGAAAATGCGCTCTATTTTATACATGCATGTTATTGAAATTATTGTGAATAATTCATACATGCATGCTTAATTGTTTGGAATTTGTTGTGAACTTGTAATGTTTAATAATTGTCTTTTTTTATTTATTTTATTTATGCATTGCATCCAACAAAACATTTATTTTTCATAAAGCAAACGGAAATATGAGTGGCTGTCATACATGTCATACACAATTCTTTAATGATATTTAATATAATGCTGCAAATCATTCATTTATTGTTCACTTTTGCTCCATGTTTCGCGTTGACGTGTCCCTTCTAAATCACAAGAGCTCTGTAAAATGTAGATGTGCAGTAACATGGGCACATATTAGTGCCAGTCATGATTATGTGTCCCTTTTATTTACTTTATATTATAAAAATGATCAGTTTTAAGTGTTTGAATCTGGAGGTTTTATTATTTGCTTAACATAAACACAAGAGCAGTCCGTAATAAATGTGTGTGTGTTTCAGGTGTGGTGAAGCAGATGTGTCAGTACTCTGATGTCGTGTGTGTGTTGATGAGGGATCTGAAGGACGGAGGTGAAGATCCTCTGCCCTATCAACCACTGCCGCTCATCCTGAAGAAGGTCTCAACTCACACTCACACTCACACTAGGGGTGGGACAATATATCGATATGGCGATTATATCGTTGTCCTCCTCCATGCGATACGAGAATCGATATCTGACGCCAAATATCGATATTTTAATTATTACAATAAGGCGCTCTATATAGATTTCCCTGCTCCCAGCGTCTAAAAAAAATGCTCTGAGCAACCATGAACCACGTTCTCTATGAAGATGGGGAAGCACGAGGAACCGAAGGATAAACAGATTTCCAGCCACTGTGTTAGCTCTACTGCTGTATATATGTTTATGGAAATGAGAACTAAAAAACTGCCCCGGAACAGCTATCAGCGTGGACCATAGGCACCGATCACGTTCAGGGACGTGCAGAGAGTTCCTCGGGGGCAGGGGCTCAAATGTAATATAGGGGCAATGAAAAAATTATATGTCAAATATTTGGATACATTACTATTTTATATTTTTGCAAGAAGTCACTTATGGTCATCAAGCCTGCATTTATTTGATCAAAAATGTTTATATACTTTAAAATTAATTTTATGCAATGCTGATTTATTATCAATGTTGGAAACACGTGATACTTTTTTCAGGACTCTTTGTTGAATAAAAATTAAAAAAAAGAACAGCATTTATTTATTTTAGCTTTTGTAATATACACTACCATTCAAAAGCTTGAGGTCAGTTTTTTTTTTAAGAAATTAGGTTTTATTCAGCAAGGATTTGTTAAATTGATAGAACCAGTGATGGTAAAGATTGATATTGTTAGAAAACATCTCTATTTTGAATAAATGCTGTTCTTTTTAACTTTTTATTTATCAATGAACCCCAGAAAAGTATCACAGGTTCCAAAATAATAATAATAAATAATAAAAATAAGCAGCACAACTGTTTCCAACATTGATTATAAATCAGCATATTAGAATGATTTCTTAAGGATCATGTGACACTGAAGACTTCAGTAATGATGCTGAAAATTCAGCGTTGCATCACAGAAATAAATGATATTCTAAAGTATATTAAAATAGAAAAACATTCTTTTAAATTGTAATAATATTTCGCAATATTACTGTTTTTTCTGTATTTTTGATAAAATAAATGCTGGCTTGATGAACATAAGACACTTTCCATAACACTGCATAATTGTCAAAAATGGTAATATAATAAAGTCAATCACGTCACCATTTCGCCAGCCTGCACATCACATAATAGGCCTGTAGATGGCACTTGGGCTTCATTAAAGGGGTCATATGATGCTTTTTTAAAGATTATTTAAACAACGCCTTCTTTCTTTGCGTGCACATTTGGGCGGCATTATGCTAATATTTCCACATAGTGAGGTAGATATGTGGGGGCGTGTTAGAACGAGCCGTTTTAGGGGGGTGTGGCAGAGTCTTAACTTTGATAAAGAATATCTCTTTGGTTTTGAGACTTTAGTCTTTGCAACTTCAGGGATCTTATCTATGCACAATCAGCTTGTAACACTCCAAAGAGAAAGGAAAACTTGAAATCGCATCATATGACCCCTTTAACTATGATAGTTTCATGAAATAGCACCCGCTGTATCATACATAAATATAAGTGAATTGAATACTGATTACCATTATTGCGACTTTTGGAACTGCACGGTTTTGTGCAGTGCTTTTGTAGTAATTTAGCATCCATTTTCTCAGGAATGTAATTTGATTTATAAAATGAGACAAACCGCAGATCCAGATCGCTCCACAAATAAGCTCATCTGCCCCATGTAATTTTCAACCGATTTATAAATAAGAACGGAAAGTAACCACTCCACTTCACATTATTGTCCAATGAAATTTGAACTTGTGCCAGATCATGATTGGTTGGTGTATTATACACGACAAACGGGCATTGATAAATTATGTAATATTCTAAAGCATATAATACATGGATTTTTTTTTAAATCGACACCCTAGCTTTGATTATTGATGAAAAAAAAGTTTAAAATATTGTTTGGTTTATTTCCTTCCATCGACCCACTCACTGAAAGAACCATATATGGCTTGAGAGTCTACTTCTGAACAGACAGTGGAATATCAGTCAGTCAAGCAAAACGCACGCAACCCATAGCAATGCCTCAGATTGACAGATATGTAAAAATAAACAGGAATTTTCCGACTTTTGAGCAATTAGTTACCATTTGTACACCATGTCAGGTTAATTATAATGAAAATGCGTTTTGTTTTATTGACCACAATATCATTGCTATTTGTCTGAGAGGGGCACTTTTAATAATTTTGAAAAAGGGCAGGGGCTTGAGTCCCCAAAGCCCCCCCTTCTGCACGTGCCTGATCACGTTATTACTGCAGAGCGCTTATTCAGTCCATGAGTAGCCTAACCTCTCCGCTCGGATCGCAGGTGGATTTCCCTCACTATATGAGTGAGAGAGTGCTGCCGGCGCGTCCAGTTTTAGGTCAACAAAACTGGGTGCTCTCCCTCTCTCTCAGATATTGCAAGTGCACGTTATGAAGTGGACACCGAGCCACCGACCGGCAGAAACATAATGCTGCGTTCAAGTCCTCCTGGGACATTCGTACTTACGAGTTGACAAGTCGTCATAACGACGTCAGGTGCATTCAAGTCACTTTGCTCAGAACAATATGGCGATTTGACTTTTTTTCCATAAAATTCAACGATTTTTTAAAACTTTACATCTACAAAATGATGAATAAAGAATGTGCGTCATTGTGTTTTTGCTTTTTTCTGTTTTTATTCAATTTATGAAGGTGATGTAAACTGAATCATTATATGTTCTTTGGTAATTATACAATAATATAATATTTTGTTTATGCAACATATAGTTTTATTTTACATTACATCAAATTTATCATTTTATTAATTTCAACAAATTTACCATCAATACAGATGCTGCATATCTAGTCTATAGGTGCGTTCGACTTCATGCGGCGCTGCGCAAACCAATCGGCGGCTGGCTTGAAGAATTGCATGCCGGTTAGAAATTTTGTCCGACTTGAACCGACGCTACGTCACTGTCACGTGTGGCATCAAAGTACCGCGATATCGTTTCGAGAGCAGCCGGCTGACTCAGCTGGCGCAGCTTTTTCAGAGCGACTGCAAGAGCGCTGATGACGACACAGCTGTTTCACGATTGGCCAAATTCACCACATCACAACAATGACGTGTGTTTGTAACATCTTCAAATCCAATACTGCTCATAAATCTGTGTTTTTAAAACATTAAAAGCTTTTTTACTGTAGTCGCAATGTTATATTGAGTCACGTTTATCATGAAAGCATATATACCCCCACTTTATTAGTATTTAAATAGTATATATTTACGTTGAACTTTATTCTTGAACAGATGGCGCTGTATTAAGCAGTATATAAAAAGTGTTTCTGTTCTGTTGACAAATATTGCATTTAATTCACTTCATCTGTGATAGAGATTGCAAACACAGCACGAGCGTCACTAACGGGAGCAGAAAGTGTCCGGCTCGATGGCTCCGTTTTCAACTCCGCCCCCGACTGCAAGCGGCTACTCTCGTTGACTGCCGTCTGTAGCGGTGCTTCAAGTCGAACGCACCTTTTGGATGCATCCATTGCATCCGACACGTTTTCTCACTGACACGCCCCCAACTCGGGGCTTAAAGAAAATTTCGAGTTTCCCACTCGTAATAACGACTTTGTGGTGGCGTTCATGTGCGTTCAACTCGTAAATACGATTTATCCGACATGACTTGAACGCACCATAAATCTGCACCTATGGCATGGACGACGAAGCAAAACCTCGCCAGAGCCGCAATGCCACGCAGAAGTGTGCAGTGTGCTTGCCACGCATCTACATTTGAATTAACGAACCTGAGAGCGCAAAAGACGCGATGTGAACGGCTTTTTTCCCCCTGCATGTCATGTGTGTGGGGCTCCGTTTCTATGATGAGAGGAGAGGAAAGGTTGAGAAAACACTCCAGGTACATTTTGAAATGTACTGGTGGCGTTCATGTGCGTTCAACTCGTAAATACGATTTATCCGACATGACTTGAACGCACCATAAATCTGCACCTATGGCATGGACGACGAAGCAAAACCTCGCCAGAGCCGCAATGCCACGCAGAAGTGTGCAGTGTGCTTGCCACGCATCTACATTTGAATTAACGAACCTGAGAGCGCAAAAGACGCGATGTGAACGGCTTTTTTCCCCCTGCATGTCATGTGTGTGGGGCTCCGTTTCTATGATGAGAGGAGAGGAAAGGTTGAGAAAACACTCCAGGTACATTTTGAAATGTACCAGGTTTATATATATATATAACTTAGGCTATATATATATATAAAGTTGATAAGCAGTTAAATGTGTTGGTTTACACACAAAGTCCAAGTCCAAGAATAAAATGATTAATTTACTTAGCATGTTACATTTTATTTACAGAACTTTCGTGCTGTTTTCTAACAGTTTGGACTTGAATAGAGAGAGAAAACTTGCACTTAACCTTTCACAGGCATTTTGTTTTCATAGTTAGACAGATATCGTGATGTATCGTTATAGGATTGTCTAGCTATGTATCGATTATCGCAGAATCGCTGTATCGTGATATTATCGTATCGTGAGCCATGTATCGCAATTCGTATCGTATCGTGAGGTACCCTGCGATTCCCACCCCTAACTCACACACACTAAACCAACAGTTATTGACACTTCAGTTGAGAACTTGATTTGAATTGAAGTTAGATCATTTCAGTATATTATTAATATCAATGTGAATTGTTCTTGTAAGTAAGTTTCCTGCGGCCCCTTTGGGTGCTTTCTGATGCCCCCTAGTGGACTGTGGTTTAAACGGCAGCGGCGTGACACTGATCTCTCTCTCTGTGTGTGTGTGTTTCAGCTGTTGTTGAGCACTCAGGACTCTCTGCAGGTGGTTTCTGTGCGCTGTGTGTGTGCTGTACTGATTCACGCTCCTCTTCACTTCTCTTCGTCCTTCATTCAGGCTGATTTACCCGGTGAGACGCTCGTCTGAGCCTGACCATCTCACACTGATCTCACACATCAGTGTAAACGGAGACGTGTGTGTGTGTGTGTTAATGACTGAAAGAGAAACTCAGTGGTTCACGTCTGATGACAGGCTGAACAGTTTTATAATGTTAATGCCGCCTTTGTTTGGAATCACTTCTGACGTGCTTTGAGAAATGTTTATAAGTGCATATAATCAAAATTTTTTCCACTCAGGTCGCACTGCATCATGTACGAAAATGGGATTAAACCTACTTAATTTCACACTCACACTGATCCTGCACATAAACGGAAGAGACTCAGCGCTAGAAACATCAGGGTCACGGTTTCAGCTCACAGTGTGAATGCATGAGTGTCTGTGTGTCTGATAGATGTGTGTGTGTCTGATATGTGCGTGTGTCAGAGTTCCTGTTGGAGGCGATGAGCGGCGGCTGCAGTGATGTCTTGTTGTGGTCGGTGTTTAGTTGTTTGCTGCTGCTGTCTGAAGATCCGCTCTTCTTCTCGCAGTGTCACGCCGTCTACGGTACAAGAGTGTGCGTGTGTGTGATTCACATGAACTCATTTCTCACGATGAAGTCAGTAGCTCTTCATCAGTCTGACTGTAAATGTGTGTGTGTTTGAGGTGTGGAGCCACTGGTTCGCTCTCTGAAAGAGACTCTGGGAAAATCCAACACTGAGGTGCAGATAAAAGGACTGGAGCTGCTGACGGCTATATTGGACAGGTCAAACACACACCTGCACACCCACACACACACACACTTACACAGGGATTCCCTCTTTTCTTTTATTGTTAGATTAACATTAATGCGACAAACGGCCTATATATTAAGTTTCTACAAATATATATACGGCCTACAAATTATGTTTGCGTGAATACTTAAATACTGTAATTCTGTGCATATGTGTATATTTATCGGGATCGCGGAGAAAAAGGTACTCCTCTCAGAAAACGCACAAAAGATAATTATGTATAAAAGATATGTGAAAGATCATTTTAGATGTTTATTCACTATTTGGAGCATTGGGATTGCTAGACGAGGGCTTAATGAACTCGTGTTTGTGAAAACCTCAAATTCAGCCGAAATGGTCATTTTTCACATTTTATTTGCCTGTAGCTCAAAATTAGCCCGTGCGCTTTCCAACTCATTTTGCCAGCACGGGTCACATTTTAAAATTAAAACTAAATAAAAAAATAAAACGCCTACTAAAAATGAAATGTGTAAATAAAACGCCTACTAAAAATGAAATGTGCTTATATACGTGTGTGTGTGTGTTGACAGGCAGCCTGCAGCGGTGCGTCTCTTCCCGACCGGCTCTGAGTTTTCTGCCGTGTGTGATGTCATCGTGGAGGGCGTGGCCTCATCCTGTCTGCAGGTGTCCATGTGTGCGGTGCGAGCCGCTGCTGTCCTGCTCAGGTCACACACACACACACACACTCACAATTCGAGGGGATGTTCTGGTTACTGTAGCGGAGCAGCATGGTAAATTGCACGTGTGTGTGTGTGTGTGTGTTTGCACAGGCCCAATCATCAGTCCAGTCCGGTTCAGCTCGCAGATGTCAGGAGGATCGTGGAAGTCGTGATGTCCAAATTCACAGAGCACCATCACACACGCAGCAGAGTAAGTGTGAGTGTCCTGAGCAGCGGTCATGTGATCAGCAGGCGTCATGTGATCATCATCTGTGTGTGTGTGTGTGAGTTCAGGAGAGCTGCTCTGGTTCAAAGTCAGTGACAGCAGGAGTTTTAGTGCAGACGCTCACATGCTTCGACGCCGCCTGCAGGTCAGTCTCTCACTCACATACACATACTTAAAAAAAAGAATTGTACTTTTTTATGATTTAAGTGTTTTAAATAATAATTACGATTAAGTTTTAGTAATTTAGTACTAATTCAATTAAATTTTTTTAAATTTTATTTTGATACGTTTTATTTTAAAATGGTTTCGTTTAAATTCATATTTTTATGATTTAATTCATTTTTAATAAGAGGTTTATTTATTTTTATTATTTTTATTTGGATTTTGGGATTTAATTTGTAAGAAAATATTTGTTTTTGTTTTTTAAAATTACTTTTAAAATGATTATTTTGTCTTAATTTTATTTATACATTTAATTTTGAAATTACAGTTATTGAATTATTATTTACATTTAGAATTTTTATGATATGCTTAATTAGATTTTTTTTAAGTATTTGTTTTATTTTTGCATTGTACCAATTTTTTTTATAGTTATTTTTTTATTATTTATGTATTATCAAATGATTTATTTTGTTTTTACATGATGATTTTTTGAAATAATTAATTATTATCTGATTATATTTTGCCTTGTGTGTGTGTGTGTGTAGGTTGGTGGAGGCGTGTGTGTGTGACTCGACACTGAAGGACGGTGTGTGTTCAGCGCAGGAGACGCTGGAGTCTGTGTGTGTGTTTCTGCTGCACTGCTGCGACGCTGCCTGCATCCCTGCAGTTACTGTGAGTCACACACACACACACACACACACACACATATCATACAATCACACTGAACCCTACACTCGTGTGTGTGTGTGTGTGTGTGTGTGTGTGTGTGTGTAGGGTGTGTGTGAGCACGTCTCATCTCCTCAGGTGCTGCAGCTCTTCCTCTCGGTTTTGTCGTGCCAGTTTTCTCTGTGTCCTGATCACATGACCTCCTTCTCCAAGAAGCTTGGTAAGACCTGGCTCAGGGGTCAGAGGTCATGGCCAGGTCGTGGGCTTTTATAAACTTTGTGTTACCCTCATTGTAATTTTTTTTCAGTCTTCATGTGTGATTGGTGTAGTTTAGTCTCATGACTCTGTTATTGATTCTGCAGTGCAGATGTCAGTGTTTGACTGATCACTGATTCTCCTCTGTGTGTGTGTGTGTGTGTGTGTGTGTGTGTTTAGCAGCTCGTGTTCATTAAGTCTGTGTGTGCTTCAGGAACGCGTCTCTGAATCAGATCTGCTGTGATTTCCTGCTGAAGCTCTGCATGCGTCTGATCTCACAGGAACACACCTGGACCAGTGAGCTGCAAGGTAACTTGTGTGCATTATTTTAGTATCATTTAAGTTTTTGTCATTTTATTTATTATTATTATTATTTTTAAACATGTCTATATTGATTATTTTATTGTTTATTATTTTTTTATTTTAGTTTTAGTTCTTTAGTACTTAAGAATTCAAAAATGTTGTTTTACTTAATGATAATAACCTTGATGGGTTAGTTTGTGTGTCAGTGTGATTTATGTAACATTCATATATTATTGTAGTTTTTATTCGTTTTATACATTTACAGTTTTTTATTTTATTTTAAAGTTTTAGTAGATTTGTTGTGTTCTTCTCATTTTTAATAGTTTTTTTTAATGTGCAGGCCTATCATTTTTATTAAGTCTTATTTTAGTTTGAGATATTTCAGTGCATTTATGTAAAGAAAATAAAAAATGTTAAAAAACTAGGTAAAAAAATAAGTTTAACTGAAATAAAATACTAAAAAAAATTAACAATTTGATAATGTTTATGATAATAACCTTGGTGGGTGTGTGTTTGTGTGAATGTGTTTTTATTTAGTATTAAAATGCGTCTTAAATGTGTTTCATCCTGATTTGCAACAGAGCATCTCTCCAGCAAACACACAACATTCCTCTAATGTTCTGCCAACCTAAAAAGAAACTTCTACTGTGTGTGTGTGTGTGTGTGTGTTGAGCAGATGTGGAGCATGTCCTGCAGGAGTCTCTGCCGTCTCTGTGCTGCTGCGCGTCTGATTGGCTATCTGTGCTCTCTGATTTCCCACAATCCCTCAGAAACACTCAGCACTGCCTCATCTACCTGCTGCACCTGTCGCTGCTGCACGGGGACAGGTCTGTGTGTGTGTGTGTGTGTGTGTGTGTGTGAGTGGTGATGCCACTGAGTGATGAAGATCCTCATGATGGTCATGTGACCGCAGGTTTCTGAGCGACTCGGCCGTGTTCTCCGCTGTGCTGCGCTTCATCTCGTGTGTTCAGGACCTTCCTGCGTCGGTGTTGAGTTCAGTGCTCTATCTGCTGTCCGTCACTCAACACGCCGGGCCTCGTCTGGACACGGTCTGCCACTGCTCTGACCTCACTTCCTGTTTCAGCTCACTACATTACAGTGCAGATGCATTCAAATACACCTGAAATCTCATTGGCTGCCATAGCAACAGATGAACATACATTCAAAAACTACAATCAGATAAATTCCAATATATCTGAAATATTATCAGTCACCAAAGCAGAAGTTAGAGAACAACTACATTCAAAACTACGTAGAAATTCAAAAACATCTGAAACGTTATTGGTTGCCATAGCATCCATTATGCATTCAAAACTATTTTCAAAATCAAATGCCAATATATTTGAAACGTTAAATACTTTCAAAACTGTACAAATTCAAATCTATTTAGAGCAGTTATTGTAGCAAAAGTTAGAGAACAAAAACATTCAAATAAATTTGAAAACGTAATTGGTTACCATTGCAACAGCTAGAGAAGAACTACATTCTAAACTACATTCAAATTCAAATACCATAGCAATGTAGAAGCACGCTGGCTCTTCAGCCGTTACAATACACTCACTGCATGTGATTTCACATCTGTTTGTGGATCTGTCATTCAGACTGGTGACAACCTAGCAACACCCTAGCAACCGGGCGATGTGTTTTCAAACCTCATCAGGCCTAAATTACCTTGAGACAACATGAGTTTGACAGAAGTCTGTCAGCGAGAGGTTGAGTGTGATGATGCTGATGCTGATGAAGTGTGTGTTTGTGCAGGTGTCTGTGAGCGTCCTCTCTAAGGCTCTGTCTTCCTGTCCGCTGCTCTTCTCTCGCTCTCTTCCTCTGTCCGTCCTGAGCTTCATCTTCATGTATCCGGAGCTCTCGGAGCAGTTCGGAGCGCCAGCTCTGACGGGACGTCTGTCAGAGGAGACTCAGGAGCAGGAGCTGCTGGAGCTGCTTCACACACACCCTGCAGCGCTGCTGGCCACACTGGTGAGTCGCGCACACACACACACACACACACACACACACATCTCAGTTATAAAGGCAGAAGCTGATGTGAAAAACATGTACATGACAACTGAAGAGCAAGCATTTACATTTATAATCCAACATTAGTTCTGTAAATCTGATGAAAATTAGGGAATCACAGTATGCATTGACATTATTACATACAGTATATACGCAGAATGTCACAGAATTTGTCAGTGAGCAGCATTTCATCTGTAAATGTATACACAGTGTTCTTCAGGATTCACACACTTTATGACCAACAACCTTGAGATTTGTTATTAAAGTTTTTTTTTTTCTATTATAATTTTTTAATTCGCTTTAATTGGTCAACATTTGAAGTGAATCAGAACCTTTAATCAAAGTTGTCTTGTCTCTCTCTCTCTCTCTCTCTCTATATATATATATGTTCTTCAGGATTCACACACTTTATGACCAACAACCTTGAGATTTGTTATTAAAGTTTTTTTTTTTCTATTATAATTTTTTAATTCGCTTTAATTGGTCAACATTTGAAGTGAATCAGAACCTTTAATCAAAGTTGTCTTGTCTCTCTCTCTCTCTCTCTCTATATATATATATATATATAATGTTTGTGTGTGTGTGTGTGTGCGTGTGTGAGAGAGAGAGAGAGTTATGATTACAAATAAGCCAAAAGTTAAAAAAATAAATTAACTATGTTTGTGTGTGTGTGTGTGTGTGTGTGTGAGAGAGAGAGAGAGTTATGATTACAAATAAGCCAAAAGTTAAAAAAATAAATTAACTTAAATAAGTTAAAACAACAAAAAAATCTGTGTAGAATTCCTGAAGTTTGGGTTGAATTGAATGATTTCATTAGAATTAGTTTAAGTTTGAACAGTGTGAGGCTTTGGAGGCGAAACGATTAAGAACCACTGCTTTAAGACTCTAATATAAGGTCTATTGTCAGACAGTTATTAAATCACGGTGACACTCTGTGGTGTGTAATGTGTGTGTTCAGGCCGTGGCGTGTGACGTCGAGTCTGCAGCGTCACGTTCAGCCGTCGGTGTCCTGCAGTGTTTCCTGCGATCGGCCGACAGCAGCAGCATCAGCGGGACATCTGATCTCTGTGATCAGATCCGATCGGCGCTGCTCAACGTCCTGCAGAGACACACACACACAGGTCAGAGAACACACACTCACTTTATATTTGTTCATGCTGACAGTCTGTAGTGTAGAAAACACTGTAGAAATAAAGGTAACGTCTGGCCAATTGCATTCAGATCCTCCGTTCTTGTACGAAACAGTGAGTCATTTTGATGGTCCAATCAGCAGCCAGTGGCTAATATCAAGCCCCGCCCCACAATTCACTCATAAACTGATCACAGTGTGTCAGCCGCTGATGTTTGGTCTGTTCCAGACGGTCTGTCTGTGCTGCTGGACGTGTCGGCTGTGATTCACTCGTCCGGTCAGATGGAGCACACTGACTTCAGACTCCTGTACCACGGTAAGAAAACACATGCTTTTCAAATTATATTTGAATTTAAAAGGCATAATTTCAGTTAGGGGGAAAAAAAGGTTTTGGCTGCTCTCCAGAGGCCACAAGAGGGTGCATCGAGCAAAATATTACTAATGCACGTTTCTTCAAAGCAATAAAATAACACGACTATCTTTGAAAAATGTGCATACTGTTTAAAATAAGGTTTATAAAGCATATATAATTAATTACGTTGCTTAAACAATTAGAAACAAAACAGTATTTTGTATATATGCATAGTTCAATACAAAGGACCAAAAACCAATCACAAAGAGTCCTTTTTTTCATTTAAAAACTTGAGATGCAGTGGGATGGGGGAAAACCGCCATAAATTCTCGAGATATGTTTTTTAAAAGTTGAACTTGCATTAATTTTACATAGCTTTCTAAACATGCGGCTCTCCTGTGCGAGATGCGAGTGCAACGCTGATAGATGTCCCTCTAGAAAATGCGATAAATATGCATTCTGTGTGAACGACTTGACGTAAACAAGATCTCCGCATTGGTGTTCTCTTTTTCTGCAATATTTTGAATGAACAACGTAGCAGTGCTACATCAGGGGGTTCAACTGGATAGGCTAACAACTTGCATTTTTGACACTTACATCGTCTTCGCATTTCGTGCGCCACTGATAAGGCTGCCTGACGCACACTTAAAATTCAAATGCAAAAAAAGCCCTAACACACACGCACACACACTCAGAGAGAGAGTTTGGATGCTGTTATGTTCATACGTGCATGTGTGTGTGTGTTTGTAGTCAGTAATCTAGTAGGAAAGCTGGACTCCAGTGACTCTGAGCTGCTGCTGTCTGTTTTCAACTTCCTGTACTGCTTCCTGTCTGTGTGTCCTTCACACGCTACTGATAGAGGTAACACACACTCATAAACTGTGGAGGAAATTTCATTTTTTATTATTATTATTAGCTTTATTTGCTCTACTTTGCCAAAGAGCGTTCTTTGCCTTTCTTGATGCTCGATTAACATGCTTGAGTTTTGGATGAACTGAGAGATAACAGGAAATCTGTTTGGTGTGTGTGTGTGTGTGTTCAGGAGTGTCTCTGCTGCTGGGAAATGTCAGGCTGATGGAGCTGCTGGAGGGGGTTTTATCTGCCTCTTCATCCTCATCTTCATCACTGTTGTGCTCCTCTCTGCTCCTGCTCTCCTCCCTCACACTCCTGCAGCACAAACACTCCGCTCAGGTACCACACACTCCTCCTGCACAGCTGAGATCAGTGTCGTCTCACTAATAAACACCTGACACGTGTGTGTGTGTGTGCGCTGAAGGTTCACAGGAGCGTCAGTGTGGATCTGCATCAGATAATCAGACGACTGGCCTTAAGCAAGAGACACACGGACACACTGCTCATCAGTAAGACACACACACTCACAGTTAAAACACACATAGACACGCTCACACAAACACTTACACACACTCACAATTAAAACACAGATGCACACATTCAGACACAATGCGGATCAGTAAGACACAAACACAAGAAAACTAGATTGGTTTGATGTAAAAGCTGAATTAGTGCATCTTTTGGGTTTTCAAACTGAACAATTTCTAAGAAAAGAAAAAAAACGTTAACTGAATGTACTTTGATGTGTTGATTAAAAATGTTTAACTATGTTATTGAACTAGATATTCTTACTGGCTAATTTTGGTTTCTAAAGAAGGAAATCAGTTTTGTTGCTGTTAAAAGAAAACATGGACACAATTTGGAGTTGTTTGTATTAATATTAGGAATTCCACAGGATTGGAAGCTTCTTGTTTTTATAGTCTTCATCATAATATGCATAGTGTGTTCATTTATATGATACATATAATAAATCAGGAAACTAGATGAGGTCAAATAAGCATGTGAGTTGAGCTTCTGTTGATTTGTGCTTATGTGAAAGTGCAATAATAAAGATGAAATGTAAAAAGAAATTACCAAAATGACAATAATTGTGATTACAATTTTTGAAATCACAAAACAATTGATTATTATCATGCTGCTTTACTGTACTCTAATAGCTGGAGGAAGACAGAAATGCCTACACTGTGACAATATAAAAGTCAGTCATTTCATTTCGGAAACACATTGTGTTTTTTTTTTTTACATCGCACTTAATATTCTTACACTGTAAAAATGATATTTATATATGATACAATACAGATGCCTTTATATTTTAATAAAGGTTTGTAATTTTTTGCGAACATAGTTTTTTGGCGTTGTGCTGAAGTGAAGTTTAGCTACTTAAAATGAGCTGAAGTGATTGCATGATCTGCAGATGTTTCTCCAAACGATTCATCCCTCATTGATTTGTTGAGTTTACATGTCGTGCACCTTTAGTCTGAACAAATAAACACATGCTGGTGACTGAAAGACTGTTTGAGACTGTTACAGTATTGTGTAACTGTAACTGTAATGAACTGAGAGACACATCAGACTCTGTGTGTGTGTGTGTGTTTGCAGAGTGCAGTGTGCGCTTTGTTCAGGTGTGTTTGGATGTGGATGCATCTGCTCTGCTGTGTGTGTGTGATGCAGCACTGCAGCGACCTCTGACCTCTATAGATGGCGCTCTTCATCCCATCGGACACAGCGGCGCTACGAGCCTCATGACAGCGCTGAGCGCACTCATGCTAGTGGTATACAAACACACACATACATGAACTTGTTTTGACCCTCATGTTGTGTTTTGGTTATTTTGACCCAGAGAGGATTTTCTCTGTTTTTACTAAAAACACTAATTAATGTTAAAGCACTGGATCAAAACTTAGTGATTTTGTTCACACAGGGTTTAACAACTTCCCCCAAATTTTTTTATTATTTTTGTACTTTTTGAGATTTTTTTGAAGTCTTTTTGTCAACTTGTTTTCATTCTTCATTCAATTGGCACATTTTTGTATTTCTTCCTGGAACTGACTGATAGTAGGCCTCTTTGATCTGAGGTTGATCTGCTGAGTGAATATTGCCAAAATTATCCACCAATAATGTTTTTATCAATCAAAAACGGAATATTGCCAAAATTATCCACCAATAATGTTTTTATCAATCAAAAACGAAATATTGGCAAAATTATCCACCAATGTTTTTATCAATCAAAAACGGAATATTGCCAAAATTGTCCACCAATAATGTTTTTATCAATCAAAAACGGAATATTGCCAAATATTCAGTTTTCAGTTTTTTTTTTTCACTCAAAAACTGAAAATTGCCAAAGTTATCTACAAATAATGCTTTTATTAATCAAAAAGGTTTAAGCCCAGATCAATGAATCCTACGATCAGATTCAAAAAGAAACCCAAAACCTGTTCTAATTAAAAGAAAACAGGTTGACAATACTGAAGACAAGATTTTGGTGATAATACAGCACAATGAGAAATTGACGAGCTATTTTTAAAAGTTGGGTCATTTTTCACTGCAAACGGCAAATTGGGGTAAAGGATTTTCAGCACAGACATCTGATTGATGAGTGAGAGTCAATGACTCGATGACTGATGTGTGTGTGACAGACGCAGGATCTGATGGTCAGCGCCGCTCTGAACTGTCTCAGGTCTCTGATGGGATTTCTGCGCAGACGGAGCCCTGAAACCGGTACAAATACACACTAGTTCACTAGTTAAAAGCACTCAACAATCGGCCAGATCCTGTTTCTGCTGGTGTTTAGCACAGGTTTCTGTGAGGGTCAGTTCAGGGTCATTAACCTGATAAGTCTATGAGATGAGCTCACTGATAGAGTCAAATATTAACAACAGGCTTTAGACGGACAAACACTCATGCTTGTGTTATCGGTGTGTGTGTAGCGCAGCACATGGTGTGTCAGCCGTGGATGCGGTTCCTGCTCTTCTCTTTACTCTCCTGTGACCAGAGACTGAGACCTGCAGCGCTGCAGCTGCTCACACAGGTAACACACATATAGGGCCTGTTTACACCTGGTCACTTCATGCGTTTTCGCTGATCGGATATCCATCTGATTTGTTAAAACGTTTCCATTTACACTTGGCCACATAGTGTTCACGTCAACGAAATCAAAAGATAAGCGCTGCATTTTATTCATTATCAGCTCATTTCAAGATCAAAGACCGCAATAGGAGAGCGCATCAGCACTGGAAAGATACGTTTGTCTTACTACTTTTAATGAAGATGATCGTGTATTGACCGTCTGCGTCTTACTTTCAGTTTCATTCGCGGCAGTTTGCACGTCGGCTTGCTGAGTGTTGCATTAGCGAAGTCATATCTGACTATAATGTCATATAGCCTATAACACGCTCTCACACGTTTATTATTTTAATTTACAACACCCGTCTCACCCGCAAAGCCCTCTGCATTGCAGGTGATCCCACCCACCCGACACACAGCTTCTTCAGTCTGCTGCCATCAGGGAGGAGAGGCCAGGACCAGCAGACTGAAGGACAGCTTCATCCATCAGGCTGTCAGGAAGCTGAACTCCCTCCCGACCTTGCCCCCCCTCCCCTCTTTTGCCCCACGCACCTCTGAACTCTGACCCTCTGATGGACTCTCCCACTCCCCCCACTCCCAAATACACACACACTGTCACTTTAATCAGTCGAAATAAGCTCTTTTGCACTACAAATCATTGTTTTTTGCACTTTTACTGGTTTGCACTCTATCTGCCATATGCCTTGTGCTTTATATATATATAGATATATTTTTATATTTTACCTTATTTGTATAGTTGTATTTTGTATTTTGTATTTAATCTGTACCTATCTGTATTTATGTTATCTGTATGCACCAAGGGTCTGAGAGTAACGCAATTTCAATTCTCTGTGTGTATGTGCTGTACATGTGGAAGAATTGACAATAAAGCAGACTTGACTTGACTTGAGGGCATTTACACCTGGCCTTTTCTCGATCGAATAGCTATCCGATCAGACAAAACGCATGAAGTGACCAGGTGTAAACAGCCCCATACATATGCTTTAGCCCTGTTCTTCTCTCTGAGTGTGTGTTTGTGTGCAGCTGGTGTGTTTCAGCGGTGGCGTCTCACACTGGAGGACTGAAGTTGAGTCTGTGTGTGAAGAGATTGAGAAAGAAGGAGCGACGAACCTCACCGATGACAGCACACACACACTGAGACTGATGCTCACACAGGTGTGTAACACACGCACACACACTTGCAGGTGCATCTCAATAAATTAGAATGTTGTGGAAAAGTTCATTTATTTCAGTAATTTATTGAGATGCACCTGTATATACATACAGTCTATAACAGTGGTCTCAAACTCAATTCCTGGAGGGCCGCAGCTCGGCAGAGTTTAGCTCCAAATCACACCTGCTTGGAAGTTTCTAGTAATCCTGAAGAGCTTGATTAGCTGGATCAGGGGTATTTGATTAGGGTTGGTTCTGGTGTCCTTTGACAGCTCTTTGGTCTTGGCCATGGTGGAGTTTGGAGTGTGACTGTTTGAGGTTGTGGACTGGTGTCTTTTATACTGATAACGAGTTCAAACAGATACCATTAATACAGGTAACGTGTGGAGGACAGAGGAGCCTCTTAAAGAAGTTGTTACAGGTCTGTGAGAGCCAGAAATCTTGCTTGTTTGTAGGTGACCAAATACTTATTTTACCGAGGAATTTACCAATTAATTCTTTAAAAATCCTACAATGTGATTTTCTGGATTTTCTTTCTCATTTTGTCTCTCATAGTTGAGGTATACCTATGATGAAAATTACAGGCCTCTCTCATCTTTTTAAGTGGGAGAACTTGCACAATTGGTGGCTGACTAAATACTTTTTTTCCCCACTGTATACACACACACACACACACTACTTTTCAAAAGTTTGATGTTTTAATGTTTCTGAAAGAAGTCTCTTCTTCAGTGTCACATGATTCTTCAGAAATCATTCTAATATGCTGATTTGCTGCTCAAGAAACATTTCTGGTTGTTATCAGTGTTGAAAACATTTGTGCTGCCCAATATTTTTGTGGAGACCGTGATACATTTTATTTTTCAGGATTCACAGATGAATAGAAAGAATAGAATTTGTAACATTACAAATGTCTTTATTCTCACTTTTGGTCAATTTAATGCATCCTTGATCAGTTAAAGTATTCATTTTTTCCTGAAATGTTCTGAGTGTGTTATTGAGGTGTGTGTGTATGTGTGTGTGTTTGTTCAGTGTTGTGCTCTTTCTCCTCCTGATGATCTGAGGATGAGGATGGAGGCTATACAAGAGTCACTAAGACATCTTCCTCCCTCTGAGAGCTCGAGCAGACACATGCTGTATCCTTAATACACACACACACACACACACACACACACTCAAACACACACAAATGATGCTTTCCTTAATAGTGTGTGTCAGTCGGGTTGGACGGGTCTCTGTCTGTCTGTCTGACTTCACAATCAGCACTCAGGACCTATGAAACACACACACACACACACACACACACACTCAAACACACACAAATGATGCTTTCCTTAATAGTGTGTGTCAGTCGGGTTGGACGCGTCTCTGTCTGTCTGTCTGACTTCACAATCAGCACTCAGGACCTATGAAACACACACACACACACACACACACACACACACACACAATAACACAATTCTGATGACTTTGACTTCTGTTCCTGCTGAAGATGTTTGTTACTGAAATATATCTTATATGCCTATTTATTTAGATTAATAATAATCAGTTATGTAATATTTATCATTTGTTATTGTTGAAATATTTTATTATATCATTTGTTTAGTAACAGAAAAGGTTATGTTTAATTATTGCTATTAATAAGTAGTTACTCAGCTGTCATTTGTGTGGTGAAATGGTTATTGGTTCATATTCATTTTTAGTTTTAATAATAATTAGTTTCACTTTTTGTCATTTGCGTGGTGACGAATGGTTATTAATATTCATTATTGCTATTAAATGTTGCTCATTTTATTAAGTGCTCACAAGAATGGTTATTAAATAAAAATACTTTTTACCATAAAAAAATGTTAGTCACACCTTTTACAATTTTAATAGTAGAGACAAATATGGTTATTGATTAATATTCATTTGTACTATCAATTATAATTACTCAAATTGTGTTGTAACAAAAATGGTCGATTAATATATATATTTTGTTATTAATAAGTAATTTGTTACTCTTTATAGTTTGAGTAAAGACAAAAAAATGGTCATTGATGAATTTTTATTTTGTACTATTAATTATAATTGGTTAATCATTTTATAATTTGAGACAATTTTTTTTTTTGGTTTAATGTTTATTTTTACTATAAATGACCGTTTGTTGCTCACTTTATAATTGCAGCAGTGACAAAAGTTTGATTATTATTAATTTGCACATTATGTGTGCGGTAACACAATGGTTATTGTTGATATTCATTATTAATTATATTATTCGGTTTTTTTAAAATATATTTTATCTGTAGCATCAAAAAAAGCTATTGATTAATTCCTAAATTATTGATTATATATTCCTGGATTATTTATTAATGTGTCTGTTGTATTACATGTATATGTATTATTATTATATGCAACGTTAAATATCAGTATTGATCTGTTTTCATCGGTGAGGTCTCTCAAACACTACGGAGATCGATCGCGATGACCCGAGTTTGACGCTCCGTGCGGAAACCTGCGACGCGCGCGTGGCAGCGGCGGACTGGAGGACACGCGCGGCATGTGAATGATCCGACGCGCCGCGCCGCACACATCGCGACACTGGAGTTTGAATCCGACGGCCGCTCGACGCGTGTTTACCGATGCTCGGCGCTGAAGGTGAGTGAATGAGTGCGGCGGCGATCCGCATCAAGCACCGCTGTAACATCTGCACTGAGGAGGAGGAGGATGTGACGCGATGGGATTATTTCTGGAGAAATACTGCTGCAGTGATGATGGTGGAGAAATGTACCATAGTAATACCATGGTATCTGACAGCGCGTGAACACCAGAGCGAATGAGTGATCACGATTCCCTTCTCGTCTGAATCATCACGCTTAAGCCGTTTTCTGTGAAGAATTTCTCTAATTGGCTTTTCTAGGTGTGGTTGGCTGGAGCTGTGAAGTGTCAGGACTAGCCAGCTGAACTGGTTAACCCATGCAGGCACGAGGAAGTGCTGGGGGGTCGTTTGACTTCAAATGACTCGACCTCAAATCAGACACGACTAGAGTTGGGAGGAAAAGATCTTTAAATGGGTTCTGGACTGGAAACTCAAGTCAGTCCCACAGCGATGGCTCAGTATCTGGTCTGGTTGAAGATGGTTTTCATCTATATGTTATCATGTTGATGTCTGTCAGTGATGGGTCTGGTCTGGTTTGAGATGGTTTTCATCTCTCTGTCAGTACAGGTGAGGTTTGGTCTAGTCTAGTTTAAGATGGTTTTAATCATTTTAACTTCTGTCCATGATGGGTTGGGGCTGGCTTGACATAGTTTTCGTCTCTGTATCATGATGTTAACATCTGTCAGTGCTGAGTCAAGGTTGGTCTGGTATGAGCTGGTTTTTGTCTCTCTATCATGATGTTAACATCTGTCAGTGCTGAGTCAAGGTTGGTCTGGTATGAGCTGGTTTTTGTCTCTCTATCATGATGTTAACATCTGTCAGTGCTGAGTCAAGGTTGGTCTGGTATGAGCTGGTTTTTGTCTCTCTATCATGATTTTAACATCTGTCAGTGATGGGTCAAGGTTGGTCTGGTTTGAGTTGGTTTTCTTGTCTATATCACGATGTTATCATCAGTCAGTGGTGGTTTATTGTTGGTCTGGTCTAGTTTGAGTTGGTTTTCTTGTCTATATCACGATGTTATCATCAGTCAGTGGTGGTTTATGGTTGGTCTGGTTTGAGAGCTGAGTCTCAGGACAGGAAGTAGAACATCCCTCTGAAGCGGTCTGGCTTTGAGCAAATGCATGAAATATTAATCATAAATCTGTCTGATCGCTCTAGGTTTATGATGTCTGTTAGTAAAGCTAATGCTGGAGCATTGCATACAAACCACAAACTCACTGAGTTGATCTATTATTTACACTTTTGCACTAATATTTGAGTCGTGTGTTTATTTGGTCAAATTGATCAACAGTAATAGATTTTCTTCATAAAAACATAATTGAATCAGCCTGTCATATGGTTTCTGTTTTAATCGTCAGTGGAATAGGTTTTAAAGGGACGGTTCATCCAGAATTAGGTAATTCCTCTTGTCGTTTCAAACCGGCGTGACTTTCTTCTGAGGAACACAAAAGGAAGGTATTTTGAAGAACTTTGGGAGCCAAATGACTTTGGACCCCATTGACTTGCACTGTATGGACGTGTCCAAATATCTTTTGTGATTCACAGAAACTCGTACAGGTTTGAAAGACATGAAGGTGAGTAAATGATTAAAGATTGATCATTTCTGGGACTTCAGAGACTTTAACCCATTTTTTGTGTGTGTGTGTTTCTTGATGCAAATCTGAACGGTAGTGATGGAAAAATTAAGCTTTGCGATAGTGATCGACAGATATTGATATTTTATAACCGATACCAATTATTTGCGTGTTCATGTGCACGATAACTGATATGCAGAACCGATATTTATGAAGTCAATAAATGACTGAGTGAAGTAAGTCCATGCTTTCACTTTTCCTCCTTTCAGCAGTCTTTCATGTTAAATTTAATCTTCATATTACAATAAAAAAACATTTTATTTAACGCATCAGCAGCAACACTAATATTAACAATAAGCAAAATAAATGTAGAAGATCTAATGTTTTCAAATGGAGAAAATAAATAAACGAAAATTCATTTAGTAGTTAATTTTAAACTACAATTTTAGTAGGTTTATAAGCTGTTTAATAGGCTAAAGAGTGAAGAATAATTCACTGGATAATGTTAATTCACTGAATAATATTCTCTGGAATATTGAAATATAACAAACAAAACATTGTATTTTATTGCATTTCTCAACTGGCATGTTATATCAGAATTACTAATAATATTTTTGTCTTTCTAGATTATGAAATGCCTGCTGACAGCGCAGTTTATCAATATGAAATATGATAGCGGCTTCACGAGACTAATGATGAGCAAATATACAACAGAGAGAGAAGTAAATTTAGCGTTTTTATTTCCAACATGCGCTCATTCATGGCTGTATTATTTAATTAATGCAAAGTTACGTCTTTATTGGGAAAGGACTTGACGGATTATCTTAGCCTACGTGACTCCGCCTTCATGAGACGATGAGCATATAGACAACAGAGAGCGAATTAAATTCAGCACTTTTATTTACAACATGCGCCCATTCATGGCTGCATATTATTTAATTCACGCAAAGTTACGTCTTTATTGGGACAGGATTGACGGATTATCTTACGTGACTCCGTGAGTTCGTCTCTATTTCTTCGAGCCAAGCTGCATAAACTGCATATCAGGCATTTATGTAATGCATCTAATTTGTGCATTAATGGCTGTTATGTTAAATAAAGTTTACTAACTACAGTAAATCAAGTACCTGTGCACACCGTTGTTGTTGTCTCCACTCCCCTCAGACGCTGTGGTGCAATGGCGATCCTACGCGCAATTCTCAAAACATCCACAAGATGGCGGCGTTTATCGGTGAATCCGATATTACAAAACCGATATCCGGTTATTGTAAAATGCTTAAATATCGGTAAATCGATATATCGGTTGATCTCTACTTTGCGAAGCACCGAGGCTTTCCCCTCAACTGTGTCGTAAAAGGTTCATTACTCTAAGCTTTTCAAGACACACTAACGACATCTTGTGGTCAAAAGGTGGAAAAAGCTGCCTTTGCATCCCAGACGACCCAGCCATTTTTGCTTCAGATAATAAATTAGTTTGTGCTATGAAAACCTGTATAAAGCAAAGAAAATATGAAGTCTATATAAATAAGTCTTCATGTCAGTCATTGTATTACATAATATGAATAAATGAGTCTGTGAATAAATTTGTGGAAAAATAGGCAAGGCTCCCTGTTGAAAAAAACAGCATATGCTGGTTAGGTATGTTTTGACACTTGGATGCTGGTTTAAGCTGGTCCTTTGCTGATTTGTGCTGGTCCATTGCTGGTTTGTGCTGGTCCTTTGCTGGTTTTAGCTGGTTTATGCTGGTCCTTTTGCTGGTTTATGCTGGTCATGTGCTGGCAAAGGACCAGCACAAACCAGCAAAAGGACCAGCAAAGGACCAGCTTAAACCAGCAAAGGTCCAGCACAAACCAGCAAAGGACCAGCACAAACCAACATCCAAGCATCAAAACATACCTAACCAGCATATGCTGGTTTTTCCAACAGGGCTGTAGGCACATATCGGCTATGATCAAAATAACCAAAGATTATCATAGAATGGTCAGTTAAAGTGTCTGAACCAGGAATTAATACAAAATGAAGATGCACAAAACTACACATGCAAATATTTATTCGCATTGTGATTAATTTTTTTCAAAGAAGTGAGTGACACCTGAAACTGGTCAAGTGGTTCGCGTTATTTGAATCAGAATACGAAGCAGTCACGTGGTTGTGTGCAAAAGCGAAGCTTCGGACGTCACAGATCACGTGGTTTTGGCAAAATGAATCAAGCTCCGGTGCAGTGCTTCACTGTGAGATGTTTCGTTTTTTTGATACAAGCTTCGAAGCCCTCGGTGTCGAACGTCACATCACTACTGAACGGATCAGCCTCTTGTATTTTGTCAGAAGGGATGATTAACAGCTGAATTCAGCATTCATTATCACCATCATCTTTCACTGAATTATTAATTCAATTCCTGTTTTTTATAGTGCTTTTCACAAAGTATGTGGCTTGAAAACCGCTTCACAGAAATGTTTGTTTCAATGTTTTTGTGCCCTAATAAACAATAATCGAGCATTAAATCCAGAAATGTCCTTTTAATTAGCCAGAAAGTAGCATTTTCCACATTTTTACCTCAGTCTGATGTTAAATTTGATGCCTGATCTGTTTGTTTATTATTTATCCATTATATGTATTTGACAGTTTGAACCTTACTGTAGTCTTAGGGTTTAAAATATATAGTTTTCACTATTTTTACCATGACCATTACATTTTCAAACAAAGCAACAAATGATTGTTTGGAACAGTCCCATTTGTGGTGTTTATTTTATTGATGCATGTTTGATTTAATTTTATTTGATCTGTTTATGATATTTTGTCTGGTTTGGTTCACTCTGTGGATTGTGTTTGAGTGTTGTCTGGTGTTTGTCTCCCTCTAGTGGTCATGTTGAGTGTTTGCGCTCTGCTGCTGCTGGCGGCTCTCGGCTCAGACTCGGATGCACAGAGACCCCAACACGACTCCAACCTGGAGATCTGTATCCTCCTCAGACACGTGGTGTGTGTGTGTGAGCGTATGTGTGTCGTTCTCCTGAACGTCTCCTCAGATAAGCGTCTGTTCGAGAGCAAGAGGAAGGATCAGCTGAATGCGCTGAAGAACCTGGTGGAGCTCAACGACGTCAACCAGCAGTACAAGATCATCGACATCATGCTGAAGGGCCTCTTTAAGGTGTGTGTGTATGAGAGACACTGAGTGTGATGCAGCTGATCTGACTCTGTGTGTGTGTGTTCAGGTGCTGGAGGACTCCAGAGCCGTTCTTATAGCCGCTAACATGCAGCCGGATGATCCGTTCCCACTCGACGACAAAATTAAAGAAGGTGAGAGACTCTGACTTTATCACCATTCATTTCAGACATCTGAGAGTGTGTGTGTGTGTGTCTGATGTGTGTATGCTCAAAACTATGGAAGCACCATACTGCCACATGCTGAATCATAATTCTAACATTTTAAGATAAAAAATCATAATGACATGAAAAGTTGAAATCTCGAGTTGAAACATCTTAATTATCACACAAAATGATAAGATGTTTTGTCAGTTTTTTAAAATATATTTTTTAATAAATTGAGTGTGCCATATTTTTACATACCATGTCATAATTTTCAACTTTTCTTCATAAGTATGATATCAATTCTGACTTTAATCTCAGAATTGTCTTTTTGTCATAATTTTTTCTTTTTTAATTTTAAACTTTTAACATTTTAAACATTTCAATTGCAAAATTTTAAGGTAAAGTCTTAAATCTCACTTTAGAAGTTGAATTCATGAGATGAACAGTCACAATTGACTTTTCTCATAATCTCACTTTTTTCTCCACATGTCCTAATTAAAATTTTTACCACATAATTATGTTTTATCTCATAAGTATAACTTAGTATGCCATCATTTTAAATCTCATGAATTCATCTTTTTATATCATGTTTCAACTTTCTTTATAATTTCAACTTTAAAATGTCATATTTTGAATTCATAAATGATCAATCATAATTATTAAATTAAGATAAAAGGTCCTAACTTTTCACTCAAGTCAATATCATGAGATCAATACAATAATTTTTACTTGGACATAATTCTGACTTTATATATGAAAATTTCAAAACTTTTCCACATAATTGATGTTTTTTAAAATAACTTTTTTTCATTATTTTTATTTAAATTTTTTAATTTGTCATGTCACAATTAATTTTTTTTCATATATTTTTAACTAAACCATGATAAATTATAATAATATAAAATGAAGTTTAAGTCATAATAATAACAAATCAAAATCATTTGCAAATTTATTTTTTGACAGTATTAACTTTCTCAAAATTTTCCACAAGTATGAAGTTTTATCACATAACTGTAACTTTGTTATAATTTAGAATTTTCTCATGAGTATGACTGTCATAATTTCAATTGTTTTATTATAATTTTGACTTGAAATTTCATTACATTTGTTTCATAATTTTGATTAGTCATAATTAGAATTTTTAATCTCACAATTTCAATTTCTTGTCATAATTTAGACATTTTATCTCATAATTGTGACTTTTAAATCTCATAATTATGGTTTACCAAAACATGATTGAGTTTTAATTGGCATAAATAGGCTTCCATATAAAACACTCTCAGACAATTTTTAGTCAGTTCACGTTCATTTCTATAGCACTCTATACAGTACAGACACTTCACAGCAGCTTTAGAGAAACAAAACCACATCTCACTCACAAACGTCTTGAATTTCAGCAATCATTTGTATCTACAGGAGATAATCTGGTGTATTTTTTCAGTGAGCTCATGCGGTAGTCTCAGTCACAGTGATATTCTGTGGGTTTAATCAGTTGAATCTGTCTGTCTCTAGCATACTCTCACGTGGTGGAGAACACGGCGTTCTTCGGAGACGTGGCTCTGCGTTTCCCGCGCATCGTCCATCACTACTACGATCGTAACGCGGACTGGAGTCGTCTGCTGCACTGGGGTCTCCGCTTCTGCAACCAGACGGGCGTCTTCAGCGGAGGAGCCCATCAACATGTGCTCACGCTGGTCAGACTGAGGCATCATGGGATTAACATGACACTAAATACACTGAAACATGAGCTTTAACGCTGTGTGCCTTTTCTTCAGATGTCACAGGAGCTGGGAATCACAGAGAAATCTACAGACTTCGTCAATCCGTATCGCACCGAACGAGACGACGTGAGTCACACACACATACATATATACAGAGAGAGATGTCTATTACTATAGAGTCAGTGTTTATGTCCACGGCATTGTGTTATTAATAAAATTTGAGATAGACTAATATGTTTTCCAATTGCCTTAAAAAAGTAAATATACATATAATGTTATCCTGTTTTGGGTCTGTATAATTTTACATAATATAACCAGGGTTATTGTAATTAACTGAGACTAAAACCAAAACGAATTATGTTACTTGAAATAAACATGAACTGAATAGAAAATGTATAAAGAACTTGAATTTATTTCATTTCAGGCATCATTTCTCATTTTTATTTAGTTTAATGTATTACAATAACTAAAACTAAAAATAATAATAATAATAATAATTAAACCTGTATAGACTTATTAAAACAATTATAGAAATGGCAAAAACAAATAAAAAATTAAAATGAACAAAATATTCAAATGAATTAAAAACTAAAATACTAATTTAATAAAAACTCATTCGAGCTATTAATAAAAACTATAGTAATATATAAATTATAGTAAAATTACACTGTTTACAAGAGTTCATTAATGGCAAATAAGTCAGTCATACTCAATTTAATTTCAGCAATTTTCTTTTAAAAAAATATTCAAAAAATTCAAAATATTTGAAAATGTACAATCTGAACAAACATTTAAAACATTTTAAATCAATATAAAATGAGTTTTAATGCACTCTATTCTTTCATAACAGGCGATTGTTATAATATTGTTTTTAATCTGCTGTATAATAGCTGATATAAACAGCTGTTTATTTGTCTAATGTGTCATGTCATATCTACAATATCACCAATTAAAGGTGGAGTAAGTGATTTCTGGTAGCCAATGTTGACATTTGAAATCACCAAAACAAATACGCCCCCTTGAAGGTCAAGTTAATTTTATTTAATTTTATTTTCTCTATAGCGCCAGATCACAACAGAAGTCATTTAAAGTTACCTTTCCTATAGAACAGGTCTATACCTTGTTCCTTTATTAAACAAACTAAATTGCCTTATGTTATTTATCTTATTTACATGACGGCATGTCATTTCTGTCTCTACGTTACATGGTCGCGCTCTCTGTTATCGCGCACAGCGGAGTTCCGCACCGATGCGCACACACAAGTGAGCACGCTCCCACTCCCACTAGTATTTGTAAATATTAAGCCGCAAAATGACTATTTAAATATGAATTCTGCGCGTCTCTGTGTTAATGAATGGCGCAGGCGCGCGGTTTTGTTTACCACTCATACTGAAGCACGCGTGACGCTCAGTTATATTAACGTCTGCAAAAAAAATTTGAATATCATGAAAAAGGTCAATATTTTTTGTCACTCCTTTCAGAAAGTGAAACCCATATATTATATAGATTCATTACACATAGAGTGAAATATTGCAAGCCTTTATTTCTTGAAATGTTGCACCCCCACCCCCCTTGAAGGTCAAGTTAATTTTATTTAATTTTATTTTCTCTATAGCGCCAGATCACAACAGAAGTCATTTAAAGTTACCTTTCCTATAGAACAGGTCTATACCTTTTTCCTTTATTAAACAAACTAAATTGCCTTATGTTATTTATCTTATTTACATGACGGCATGTCATTTCTGTCTCTACGTTACATGGTCGCGCTCTCTGTTATCGCGCACAGCGGAGTTCCGCACCGATGCGCACACACAAGTGAGCACGCTCCCACTCCCACTAGTATTTGTAAATATTAAGCCGCAAAATGACTATTTAAATATGAATTCTGCGTGTCTCTGTGTTAATGAATGGCGCAGGCGCGCGGTTTTGTTTACCACTCATACTGAAGCGCGCGTGACGCTCAGTTATATTAACGTCTGCAAAAAAAATTTGAATATCATGAAAAAGGTCAATATTTTTTGTCACTCCTTTCAGAAAGTGAAACCCATATATTATATAGATTCATTACACATAGAGTGAAATATTGCAAGCCTTTATTTCTTGAAATGTTGATGATTAACTTTTATGAAAGATAATGAAAACCCACAATTCAGTGTCTCAGAAAATTAGAATATTGTGAAAAAGTTCAATATTGGAAAGTCATGGTGTCACACCCTAATCGTCTAATTACCTCAAAACACCTGCAAAGGTTTCCTGAGCCTTTAAATGGTCTCTCAGTCTGGGTCAGTAGGCTACACAATCACGGGGAAGACAGATGTCCAGAAGACAGTCATTGACACCCTCCACAAGGAGGGTAAGCCACAAAAGTTCATTGCTAAAGAAGCTGGTTGTTCACAGAGTGCTGTATCCAAGCATATTCATAGAAAGTTGAGTGGAAGGAAAAAGTGTGGTAGGAAAAGGTGCTCCAGCAACAATCATACAATATTTTTTCAATGTTTTAATTGTAATATTAAATCCCCTTTATTTTCCAAAAATAAAATTTGTTTAATTTTCATTACTTAAAAGAGAAATTAAATGGCTGTTTTATGCCTTAAAAAATGTAAATACACAGAATGTCTGAGGGGAAAAAAATCATTAAGCTATTGTAAGAATAAATTAAACTTGTTTTTATGCTTTCAAATAATTAGACATGCTAAAACGCATAATTTGGCAACAATAAAACATAAGGTTGGAAAAAATAAAACGTTTCATAGGGCCCTAAACATGTAATATTTTGTTAAACTTTTAATAAATTGATGTTAGATTGTTTAAGTTTCATGATTTTAATTAATTAGACTTGTTTTTTGATTAATAAAATTCTATTTAACCATTAAAAAGGAGTCCAGAAAAATTTTAACTGAATAAAAGCTGTAAACCTAGAGGAAACACTGGTAGGTAAAGCCAGTAGGAGGCAGTAGAGCTTCAGATGTTGATCAGAAATCACAGAAAGTTAAACTCCGTTTGTGTGTGATTTCAGTTGGCAAAGACTTCTACTTATTTTGTCATTATATTGCTCAATTAACCACAGGTTTATTTTGACACTTCTTTTGCTTTGATTTGCATAGTTTGTTGATGTATATTTGTCTGTGTTTCAGGTGCTGCACACGGCCGAGGCCTTCCAGAAGATTCTGCGTGAGGAAGAGAAGAGGAGGAGGAAGGAGGAGAAGAGGAAAGAGATCCGTAAAGGGCCGCGGATCTCTCGCTCTCACACCGAATTATAGATCTGACTGAAGATCAGCCGTTTACACTCAATCAGGGAGCCCTGCTGAATCTGCCACGGGCGTCGACGACGTTTACAGGTTTCAGAACGAGACTGTTTTAACTCTGTCTGATTTAGGAGGATCTTCATTAGATTCACTGCTGGAGATGTGAGTGTGTGTTTAGTGCTATTGGGTTGAGGGGAGGAGTCAGGGTGGTGGGAGGAGTCTATGGGGCGAGGTCACTATAGCGTTTACAGTAGAGTAGGGATGTAACGATTCACTCAACTCATGATTCGATTCGATTCACGATTTTGATCTCACGATTCGATTCACGGTTTTATTTTACTTTTTACAAAATGAGATTTAAGACTAATTATAAATTAAATGTGTCCTTTTATTATTGCTTGGACAAAATGCTGCACATTTCTTTGTGAAATTGAAATATAACACTATAATAATATACTAATATAGCACTTGCATATTATTGCTTTTTTGTTGGTTTTGATTGCTTCTATTGTCCTCATTTGTTAGTCGCTTTGGATAAAAGTGTCTGCTAAATGACTAAATGTAAATATAATGTAAATAACAAAACTACATTGAAATTTTAAAACAAGCCCCAAATCAAATAAATAAGTAACACAAATCAAATAAATCTCTTCATATAAACAAAATAATGCTTTGTCTGTGCTCTTTCCTTTTAAAATTAGAGGCAACCACTGCATTTTAATCCTGATCCAAACAAAGATGCTGCATACATGCAACATGAGGGGTTTTAATCTAAATTAAATTGGATAATTTCGAAATTTGAAGCAAAAACAGAATGGTTTGACTTCAGTTTTGTGAAACTATACATACAATATCTGCATGAAACAGCGGACGAGCTGAATGAGATGCAGATTCACTCTCTGCCAGCAGGTGGCGCTTAAACCCTTTCCTTGAGGCAAGATGAATTAAAAAAAATACCATCTAAACTTTTCTAAAGACAGTAAGTTCCCCTCAGACATGCATTCATATAAACTCCAACCCCTAAATGAATCGTGATTTGTTTAGCATCTCAACCGATTTGAATCGTCACATATTTGAATCGGTTTTCAACCGACTCGCAGTTAATCGTTACATCCCTAGTGTAGAGTGGGTGGAGTCAGATTAATGGGAGAGTTCAAAGGAGTGCTGGGCGTTATACCGGTTCATACCGAATACCGGTTTTTATTTTTGTTATGATATGAATTTTGAAAATACCGCAATACCGGTATATGTCACTTAAACAACGTTTGGAACGCGACACTGTTTGAAAGGGGTGTTGCACTGTGGTGAGTGAACAGCTGTATGTGTTACTAAGCATAAAAGTTCAGAAACTGAAGCTGTAGAACTACTAGAACGTGATGACACAGAAGAACTCACCCACAATATCCACACTGACCGCCACAAATATCCACCGCCCGCTGTCATCAGCTCCCGCGTCTCACACACACGAGCCCGACTTTAGCACTAGATTTAGCAACTTTCAGACCCTTTTAGAGGCTTTTTTCTATAGAATATTCATATTGACAAACCTAGCGACTTTTCTGGATAAACCTTAGCTATGGTTCAGTTGGAAGATTTCGCCAGTGCTGTCCCGCGAACGCGAGGTCTGACTTTCCCGGAGAAGTGTCACCTCTCTCGGCGTCTGTTCTGTGCAGTGAGCGGCAGAGAAGCGGCGCACCACAGCCGACTCGTCAATAAATGAGTACAAAACAGCGTTTTCTAGCACCCGTCGCTTACTGATTGTTTGGAATTATAAATATGAGCGTAGTTCTTCTCTTAAGTGTAGATGCGTGTTGATTTTATCAGACGATGCCACGATTATAAATGAGAGTGACTCCTGGTTAACATGTATTAAAAGGGGTCGTGTTTAGTCACTATTTAATGTAGTATTTTTTGACAATATTCACTCATCATGACAGTAAAATAGGGCATTCTAAGTCAATATATTGCAGTATTTCCTCTCTCAATCAATAGAAAATATGGTTAACACCCGGTCATGCATGAAAAAAAAATACCGTCTTATACCGTGAAACCGGTATAATTTTGAAAAATACCGTGATATAAATTTTTGTTCATACCGCCCAGCACTAGTTCAAAGTAGTGGGTGTGGTCAAAGTGGGTCTGTGTCTTAGATGAAGGTATTTTGAACACTGATATTTCGATATTTAACACACTTGATAAGTTTTGATGATTTTAAATCAAAAATGTAAGTTCCCACATATGAAATTCAGTTGTTTAGATTCAATATAAATGTTTTATTTGGGGGTACTTTATAGTCTAATAAGAGAATTGTGGGTAATCAATGTCTTTCTGCTTTCTTTAGAAAATATTATTCATAAAAAAAAGTATATTGTGTGTGTGTGTGCGTGAAGGAGAGACAGATGAACTGAGATCAGAGCTGTACAGCCGTGAGAGAAACTCTTTAATGATGAATCTGAATCAAACTGATATCAGTGTGAATGCGTTTCTGATTCGCTTCGGTTTCTCCAGCTGCTGAAGTAAGACGCTTCAGTCTGAGACGCTTTCATAGAGGCTTTATCAATCTGTTCATGTGACTGTTATTGAAATCTTTACAGCATATGTGGGAGATTATTATCGACAGAATGAATAAAGTTTATTCAACAAACTCTGTTTTTCTGCGTACCTGGTGTATTATTTTATTGTGTATTCACGTGGTTTGTATTCAGTGTTTTTAGCTAATGTGTTCATTTCGGTTTCAGTATTATACTGAATGTATCATCATTATTGCTCTAAACTACAAATCAAGGACGTTTCAAAGAATTAACAAATAAAATCTGAATAAACTGAGCATACAAGCATGAAAGTGATGCACCTGCACCAGGGCGGGGCAAAACAAAAGTGAAACTAAAGGTGAACAACATCTGAGCAGCAGCTCGACTCCTGGTGAGTTTATATTCCTGCGAATTTTTAAACCACTGCAAATACATATATTACGATTGTTTTCCTGATGCGAATTGCATTTGTTTTCTAGGAAACATTTTCATGGACTTGTGATCAGTCAAATACTGTGAAGATGGCGACGGGGCCTGGTAAGAGGGTCTGCATCGGGGAGAGTCTAGTAAACTTTAGATGGCTGTGAATATTTGACTTACAGTAAAAGTCAAGACTTAGAGTTTTGATTTGGCAGTTATATTTGAATTGCAGTTAACGTCTGGAGAAAGCTGCACACGATAACAATTTCGTTACAGCCTTAAAGTGGATTGAAGGCATATTAACCCCACGCAATTATAAAGTAGCCTTTCCCGTTTCAGTGCACGAAATCAAACTGAATCGCAAATCTATTTTAATGTAAAAATCTTTCCTTTTTAATGCTGCTTTACCTGAAGATATAACCACAATTTCAGGTATTTTTGCAAACCCGTTTGACAGTTTAAATCAATAGTGACTAATACGCGAATCCGACCTTTAGTTCTGGAAATTCATTTATTATCTGGAGAAATTCACCTTTGCACCTTTTTCCTAAACGCGGAAGACTCGTACTGTAACGATGCTTTATTTATGATCTCTGTTTCTAGGCAAATGGACATATTTTCCGAGTCGATATTATAACGTTAAACATGTGAAATGGTTTTAAAAGCACATAGCGCTATAGTTTCGTCGCTTTACAGTGTCACAGTGACCGTCTTTCTCACCTGTCATAGTTTAATGAGGGGATCGATGACCTGAAGCGGCTGGAGTTGCATTGAAAACACATGCGCACATCCTACAGTTCGGGGGGATTTTGTCCACAAAATGATAAGAGCACACATTATTTTAATATTACATTTAATGTATTAAATTATTATTATAGCTTTGCAAACCATGCTGGTTTTCGCCTTCAGTCTTTATAGATCAAGCAGTGGTGTAGTCCTAGAAAAAAGTGGTTTTCTATTACCCAGTTGTACCTCCCACACCCCTCAAAAAAAAGAAAGAAAAGTTTTTAATGTTTTGTTTGGTGAGGGAGGGGGGAGCAGCTGGGGTGCAACTAAATACACTGTACTGTACTGAGGTAGTGTCAGGTCTGTTGACCACATTACAGTTCCAAATGACTATAATTTCACCATGTTGCTTTGAAATTATAGTCATTGTGAAAAGTGCTTTACCGGTAAATCTGAATTTAATGTTTGTTAATGTCATTTTATGCAAGTGGATAGAAAAAAAAATGAAACGGTCTTCCGCAGATAGGCCTAATATATATATATATATATATATATATATATATTTAGTCATTTAGCGGACATTTTTATCCAAAGCGACTTACAAATGAGGACAATGGATGCAATCAAAATCAACAAAAGATATGCAAGCGCTATAACAAGTCTCAATTAGCTTAACGCAGTACACGTAGCATGTTTTTTAATATTATTATATAATAAGAAAACGGAGAGAATACAAAAAGAATAGAGCAAGCCAGTGTTAGAGGCCTTTTTTGCTTTTGTTAATTGTATAATAAATAAAAGGAAAAGAAATAGTGACGTGACATGTGGCCCATACTCGGAATTAGTGCTCTGCATTTATCCCATCCAAAGTGCACACACACAAACCGTGAACACACACCCGGAGCAGTGGGCAGCCATTTATGCTGCGGCTCCCGGGGAGCAGTTGGGGGTTCGGTGCCTTGCTCAAGGGCACCTCAGTCGTGGTATTGAAGGTGTGAGAGAACACTGTACATTCACTCCCCCCACCTACAATCCCTGCCGGGACGAGACTCGAACCCACAACCTTTGGGTTATGAGTTATGAGGCCACTTTTTTGCTTTTGTTAATTGTATAATAAATAAAAGGAAAAGAAATAGTGACGTGACATGTGGCCCATACTCGGAATTAGTGCTCTGCATTTATCCCATCCAAAGTGCACACACACAAACCGTGAACACACACCCGGAGCAGTGGGCAGCCATTTATGCTGCGGCTCCCGGGGAGCAGTTGGGGGTTCGGTGCCTTGCTCAAGGGCACCTCAGTCGTGGTATTGAAGGTGTGATAGAACACTGTACATTCACTCCCCCCACCTACAATCCCTGCCGGGACGAGACTCGAACCCACAACCTTTGGGTTATGAGTTATGAGGACTTCCCTTGATAGATAGAATAGATAGATAGAATACAAAAAGAATAGAGAAGCTAGTGTTTTTTAAAGAACACAAGCAGTTCATAAATGAATAGAGTGCAAGTCTAAAAGGGGCATTTTTTTAAAGAATAGAATTAGAATAGAGCATGCTAGGGTTGGAGGGCCAAATAAAGATGGAAGAGATGTGTTTTTAGCCGATT